ACCTTTTATTTAATTTTACATCATTTATTCTATTAGTATAACAAAAAGAATGACACTNTCTAGGCTCTGTGAACCAAAATTTGGAGAAATAAGAAAAAAGTGGTAGTTTAACCGTGAATAAATAAGGAGAAACTACCAAATGAAATATTACATACAAGAAACAAAATGGAAACAAATTTTTGCAAATTTGAAAAGCGTAAAAGGAATACACAGTAAAAACGAAGATCGGATAAGAAGGTTCATGGAATCAGTGTGGTACATGGCTCGAAGTGGTTGCCAATGGCGACTTTTACCAGAAATATATGGCAATTACAGAAGCGTACATAAGAGATTCAAAAAGTGGTGTGAAAAGGGAATTTGGGAAAAGCTGCTCAAATATACACAAGATCCAGATTTGGAAGTGCAAATGATAGATGGAACAATCGTTAGAGCACATGCTTGTGCGGCTGGATACAAGAAGGATACCGGAGCTCAAGAAGCACTGGGACGCAGCAAAGGTGGCTTTACAACAAAGATACATGCTCTTGTTGATGCTCTGGGAAATCCGCTTAAATTTACTTTAACTGCTGGTCAAAGGAACGATATTACACAGGCTGAAGCATTAACTGAGAATGTCTCAAATTCAGTTGTGGTGGCCGATAAGGGCTATGATAGTAATGCTTTTATTGTGGGTCTTGAGAATAAAGGGTGTGAGGTTGTTATTCCTCCGAAGCGTAACCGAAAAGTGCAGAGGTATTATGATGAGCATATTTATAAAGAACGTCATTTGATTGAATGCTTTTTCGGCAAAATAAAACATTTTAGGCGGATTTTTTCAAGATTTGATAAGACTGCCACGGTTTATTTAGGCTTTTTAAACTTCGTTGGGGCCCTCATATGGCTTGCTTAAAATTTTGGTTCACAGAGCCTAGTTTATGAGTAACCTCTAACATTTTCAAGATGAAAGATATGACCCTCTTTGTGTAATATTATTCATAAATTCAAAAGTAATTTTACTCAAAAATTTCAGATGACCGTAATAAATATACAGTAAAAGCAAGTTCTAATATTACCGTAAATAAAACAAGGAAAGATACGCTAATTACTTGGCCATTGTAAACGTAACTCGTTAAGCCTATAAAAATTGCCATCATGAAGGACCTGATACCTGAAACTGCAGATGAAGCTGTACCCTTAATTTCAGGAAAAACATTCATTGATGCATTAAAAACTACTGCCTGGCATATTGCAGCACCAGTGGAAAAAATCATCATAGATAGTGTTACCGAATAAGGAGAGTAAGGTGTAGCTATACCTGATGCCATAAGTAGTAGAGCACCAATAGTAATAATCATTGTACCATTAATTACGCACCACCTTGCTCCAAATTTTTGTAAGATCTTACCAAAAAATAAACTGGTTAGCGAAAAGGAACCTACTATCATACCTTGATGTAATGCATAAATTTTGCTGGGTAATCCAAAAGTTTCCATATATAAAAATGGCCCACAAGTAATGAACGACATATATGCAGAAGCAAAGAGACTTGGTATCAAAGACAACATGATAAATCTTAAGCTAGATAATAATTTGCTGTAATCTTGCACCATCTTTTTTACATTGAAAGCTGCACGGTCCTTTTTGGTCTCCGGCAATGTCAAAAGCAGTAAAATCCAAGAAATCAAACAAATTACTGCAACAGTTGCATAATTACCACGCCACCCTATAGCTTCATTAATGAAGCTTCCTAAAATAGGTGCTATCGCCATCACTACAGTTAAGGTTGCATTCATAATGCCTATAAATTTTATTGCTTTGTCACCCTGGTAACTATCTGCGATTATGGCAAACACAATTACAGATGTGCTGGCACCAATACCTTGCACAAAACGAGAAATTAAAAGCCAATTAATCGATGGTGCAAATACACACCCTATAGCACCGATTAACAGCATCGCATTACCTACAATCATCATTTTTCTTCTGCCATAGCATTCAGATAATGGACCGAAAAATAATCCACCAATACAAAAGCCCAAGAAATTATAAGCAATAGTTAACTGAACTGTTCCTTCTGATACGTTAAAATAGCGCACTATATCAGAAAAACTAGGCACGGAAATGTCAATTTCAATGACCTCAGCAATTAGGGATAGAATTAATATGAGCAGTAATGGCATAAAAAAATTTAAGACAATATGTGAGTTACAAATATCATATTTAAAACATTAGACAAAGAATATTTTCCTCTGTTATTAAAATGGGTAGATGCACCTCTGTATGGCACCTATTTTTTTGCTCAAATCAAAAATTTTAGACAGATTTTTTCAGATTCGATTAAACTGCTGAGATTTTTATGGGATTTTTGAATTTTGTTAAAACTCTCATATGGTTCGCATAAAATTTTATCCACAGAACCTAGGCAGTCTTATCAAATCTTGAAAAAATCCGCCTAAAATGTTTTATTTTGCCGAAAAAGCATTCAATCAAATGACGTTCTTTATAAATATGTTCATCATAATACCTCTGCACTTTTCGGTTACGCTTCGGAGGAATAACAACCTCACACCCTTTATTCTCAAGACCCGCAATAAAAGCATTACTATCATAGCCCTTATCGGCCACCACAACTGAATTTGAGACATTCTCAGTTAATGCTTCAGCCTGTGTAATATCGTTCCTTTGACCAGCAGTTAAAGTAAATTTAAGCGGATTTCCCAAAGCATCAACAAGAGCATGTATCTTTGTTGTAAAGCCACCTTTGCTGCGTCCCAGTGCTTCTTGAGCTCCGGTATCCTTCTTGTATCCAGCCGCACAAGCATGTGCTCTAACGATTGTTCCATCTATCATTTGCACTTCCAAATCTGGATCTTGTGTATATTTGAGCAGCTTTTCCCAAATTCCCTTTTCACACCACTTTTTGAATCTCTTATGTACGCTTCTGTAATTGCCATATATTTCTGGTAAAAGTCGCCATTGGCAACCACTTCGAGCCATGTACCACACTGATTCCATGAACCTTCTTATCCGATCTTCGTTTTTACTGTGTATTCCTTTTACGCTTTTCAAATTTGCAAAAATTTGTTTCCATTTTGTTTCTTGTATGTAATATTTCATTTGGTAGTTTCTCCTTATTTATTCACGGTTAAACTACCACTTTTTTCTTATTTCTCCAAATTTTGGTTCACAGAGCCTAGGCCCCATGGACAAGATTTATGTGAGCCCCAACAAAATGTAAAAATCCCTGTAATTTAATAAAATCTGGAAAATCTATCTAAAATTTTTGATTTGAGCAAAAAGATAAGTGTCATTCTTTTTGTTATACTAATAGAATAAATGATGTAAAATTAAATAAAAGGT